GTCTGCTTCCTGAGAACATCAACGGATATGAGAAGTAACTGGATATCTTCTAACCTCATATGTTCACATATGTAAAAATTACAACAGGATCTGATTTGAGATCATATTTGCCTGTGTAAACAGACCTTGCTCAGTTTGATTTTAAAAGTTAAAACTGATTCCGTGAAACAGTCTGATATAATGAGTGTGATTTAAAATCGAAGGCTTTAAAATTTCCCAAACACTCAGTCTATTCACTGAACACACTGCATTACTCTTTTTCATTCTCTCTTTATCGGTGGTTTTTGTTTTTTAATCAAATTTTATATTATAAGACTGTAAAACTAACAAGAGTGTAGAACTCTCAGAATTTTAAAATAGGCCTGTATTTCATGCCAAAATCAACACATAAATTGTGAAAAAGTACTCACTTATAAAGCAATTTTACATTAAGTTCTACAAAACACAGTTATACATTTTTATTGTTATATGATATATTAAATAAATGATGTTGCATTTATTTTGCCTATTTGAAAGTGATTACAGTATCTTACAGTTTTAATGTACATGGGTGCTGTGCTTTATACAGTATTTCACTGTATGTTTTATATGTCAGTGCCTGTTTCTATATAATAGTGTGTGGCTTTTCAGTATCTATAAGAACGGTTCACCATCTGATTGTTAAAATGCCATTTTGTTTACACTCTGTCACTCTTGTTAGTGCTAAATTTGTCTTTTATATGAGTGAGAGGCAGTTTAACTTGTTATTGTCTGCATTTGTCCATTGTGACATGCCAAGTCAAGTCACCTTTATTTATATAACACTTTTAACAATACAGATTGTGTCAAAGCAGCTTTACAGTATCAAAATAGGAAAATAGTGTGTCAATGCAAAAGGACAATAGTAAACACTCAATTTTCAGTTAAAGGCAGTTCATCATTGAATTCAGTTATGTCATCGTCCAGCTCAGTTCAGTTTAAATAATATCTGTGCAATCAAGTCGACGATATCGCTGGAAATTAAGTGTCCCCAACTAAGCAAGCCAGAGGTGACAGTGGCAAGGAACCAAAACGCTATCGGTGATAGAATGGAGAAAAAAACCTTGGGAGAAACCAGGCTCAGTCTGCCTGGCATGCCTGGCCTATCTTTTTCATTGAATACATAATTTATCCTCTCTTTATCTTAGTTCATGTTAAATTTATAGTTACTGTCTTCTTGGCACGAGTTGATTTGAAGATGTTTTCAAATGTTTCTGTAATCACACAGTTGAACACATTGGGATTGTTAGCGGTTTCATTAAAATATTAACATCTGTTTGTACTGTAAATGCATATCTATCTGTATACTTTCATTTATAACTGTGAGATGAGTTGAAATGCTCTTTTGAGGTAACTTGTAATTAACCTGAAATATTCCTTTAAGGTCTACCACACACATTTGAAGGTTAATTACATAGCTGACATTAATTAGTGTGACACGAAGCGTGATTTTTTCATCCAACAAAATCCAATCTCCAGAGTGACAATCAAACAAACTTCCTCCTCAATCTTTCTCTCCATCATTATTTTCCTTTCCAACTGTAGGTTTACATGTTTTTGTAGCTCACTCCAGGGGGCGCTGTTTACTTGCTTATTGTCTTGTTCATAACGCACTGCATTTGTGAAATTCACGCATGCATACTCACTCACTCACAGAATATTACAGCATTACTCAGTTAGGCTCAGTACTCCGCACTAGAGATATTGTGTGGTTTTACCTCCAGGAGCATTTTCATGAATAATTACAGCTATGAATCTGTCTGAGGCACCTGCAGAGCTCTTCGAGGAGGAGGTCGTCAGCACGTCAGAGAGAACAGAACTAGCTAAAAACACACTGTGAGTCAGCCAGTGATCATGAGCTATGAGACAGTGACACTAGAACAATTCTTTCTCGGTAGACAGTAAATCTATATTTGGGATGACGAACCCCAAAACATCTATAGGGGCTATTTTAAGGCACACAACTCTCTGAGATTGAGAAAAGGTGTAACAGGCCTGTCTAAACTCTGAAGATAACTGACTGATGGAGTTGACTTGATATCAACTTCAAGTTATAAAAGATGCTGTTAAGTATGAGTGTGCTGTTCTTATAACAGTACAGTAAAAATAAAGTTATGCCACTTACATTTTAGACACCATATTGCCAGTCTATTTTCGCGCCGAATTTCCTGAACGATTCAGTGTTCAATTCGCTCTGATAAAGATGCGTGCTGATTGCAGTGTCCCTACATAGGGTTCACTGCTGCCTATTCTTTGAGCACAGCATATTCGTTGAAGTTCACTTAACAAAATGCGTTCATTTGGAACTACTGGTCGACCGATACTGGTTTTTTGACAGCCGATGCCGATATCTTGGAAAGCAGGGTGGCCGATGGCCGATATAAAGAAATTTTAAATCATTTGAAAATGGATTAAAAAAAATAAATATGTAAAATAAACATGCGTATACTTTAAATGACAAAGTATTCTTCACAAATAAACAAATATTTAATAAAAATATAATTAAAAAGGAAGTAAACACTGTAACCAACAGGGCACTCAGTATTCTGGGAAGATTGTGTGCATTGGGAATCACATTTTTTCAAATAAAGCCAAGGTAACACTCATTTTACATACAGCACACAGTGAAAATGACATGAATATGACATTGGGCAAAAGCATGAAGCGCAGCATAATTTGAAATCACGAGTTTAACGTTTGTCGATCGCGCATCTCCAGTCAAGCTGAACTCTCCTCCTGTCCGTATTCAATTTGCACGGACTGACCATCATGCAGAGTACACGCAATCGTGCAGGATACTAATGCACACTTCATAAGATCTCACAGCTGGATTCGACTAAGTTTGCAAGGTTTTGAAATTAGATGTTCATTAGTCATTCAAAGATTTGTTTAAATTATATAAATGCGTATTTGCTGAATGCTGACGGCAAACGAGAAAGTATTATAATGTTTGCTTTTATATTACTAACAATATAAAAGAAATCGTTATAATACTTTTGTGTATTAATTTTAATTCCTTTATTTAACAGTCCTATCTGATTATTAGACAGACTTCTATCCGTGGACAGAACTGTTAACGACGACAGCGAACGAGGGAGAATGTGAGAACTGCAGGCGCTGCTGTTCTCAGCGGCGTCAAAATAAAATTCCCGCCACGAATGCATCGGCCAAACAGAAAAACGTATCGGCTGATGCCGATATTTGAAAAATGCCAAATATTGGCCGATATATAGGCCTTGGCGATATATCGGTCGACCACTATTCGGAACACACGCAGACGAAACTGAGAAGTTTGAGGTACGATGAATATATATAGCCTACTTATGTAAATAAATACAATATAAACTAGGCTACCATATATACACCTGTGACTAATTAAACTCAATAAAAACAATAGAGCCTTAACGTTTTTACTTTAGCTCTAACTTCAAGTGCTATGTCCTGATGAATTGAGTGTTTTTGAACAAATCGGTTCAGTGAATGATTCAAATGACTCATTCACACAGGCAGTTAATTGTGTCCTTCCACACAATGTTTTTGTAATTTATTTCTGGCGTTACAAGGAAAGATGGCTTTAATCAAACTTTTGATTTTAAACAAGCTTTATTTTTGAAGGAAAAACTGGACAAGTATTATAACTGAAAAGGAATTACAGCATACAAAATGAGTGTACACTCTTAAAAATAAAGGTGCTTCACGATGCCATAGAAGAACCTTTTTGTCTAAATGGTTCCATAAAGAACCTTTAACATCTGAAGAACCTTTCTGTTTCACAAAAGGTTCTTTGTGGCGAAAGAAGGTTCTTCAGATTATAAAAAGGTAAGAAAGAGATGGTTCTTTAAAGAACCTTTGACTGAATGGTTCTTTTTGGAACCAAAAATGGTTCTTCTATGGCATCGCTGTGAAGAACCTTTTGAAGCACCTTTATTTTTAAGAGTGTATACATGCACACAATTGTTTTTTCCCCCTCATATATATTTGACCACCCTGGCTGCTGTTTGCGGCAGCAATGAACTCCACTATAAGAACATGAATGTCTTCAATACTGATACACTGTCTTATTAGTGTTTAAAAGCTTGGGCTGAGAGCTCTGGCAAAATGAAAGTGCTGTTATAGATTAAACCTAAGCAATTTAATTAAATGCATTAAGGAAAAAAAGTGTTAATTAGAGTAATTAGGTGAAATTTTTGTCTCCTGTTGTGTCAGAACAGCTGCTGAGACCTCACACCCAAGGGAACGGTTACAAGGGAATTATTCGTCTTCCCTGGAGAGGACACTAGATTCTCTGCGAGCCCCAGGAGATTCATATTCCCCAGCACATCCAACTGGCCTATGATGTCACCCGGTGCTGTAAAACTTTTTAATGGCCCACTAAATCAGAATCATGGATTGGAGGCATTTAAGGCTAAGTGAAGACAGGATAAGGTTATGGGGTGAAAGAGGGAAAGCAGGATGAATAGAGACATGGAGAGAGAGAGCGAAATGACCTTGCTGATGTCATAATGCAAGCAATATCCAATCCGAATGCATCTAGAATGAATGTTCACAACAGCACATTAAAAGCTCTTGTGCTTTTGTAATGCATTAACCTCTAAAATTACAATAACCTTCTGTAAATGATAATTTTCCCATCTTATTACAAATTATATATATATAAAAAATGAAAATAGCCTTAAAGTGAATAAATGAAAAGTAATAATTTACTCATCCTCATGTCATTCCAAACCTGTATAACTTATTCTGGAGAGCACAAAACTGGAAATTTAGCAGAATGCCAACGAAATGTAAGCAGATGAGGACCAGTGACAGCAAACTTTCATTATATGGAGAAGAGCAGTTTGGATATTCTGTTACTACTAAAAATGGGATAACATTGTGAGGCAATAACAGCGTTTGCAAGTGAACATAAGCAGATGTACTGTAAGGTTGCACAGAATTCTGGGATATGATGCAAGAATCAGCTCCATTCATACGCAAAGTCCTCAATGTCTGAAATCAGTGTCCTCATTTGCCAGGATCAGAGCAGTTCTGCAAGGAATGTAGATCTAGAAAGAAAGAGAAAAGTCTTCATTCATGCTTATTCATATTTATATAAAGAAACATATTTAAAAAACATCTATCTATCTATCTATCTATCTATCTATCTATCTATTTTTTGTATCTTGTTTTGGTTTATTTAGTGCTGATTGACTGATGAGATCACCCAAGATGTAACAACCAGGTATAAATGTGGGCTTCAGATTTGAGGTTTCTAGGTAAGTCCACGAATAAACTAAACCATGTTTTAAAATGTTGAGGATAGTGGCTGTTCTGATAAACCTGCCATATATATATATATAAAAAAAAAAAAATTCACATGGCTATACACTGACCGAGCTCAAAAAAGGCAGAACAATATTTCCCTTGGGAGAAAAGCTCGAAAGCAAGTTATTGCGCTGTTAAAAGGAGCTCTAATCTGCTGAGTGAAAACAATTCTTTATGTAACCTGGGAACAACTAGCAATACAGTTTATATTAGTGAAATCACTGTTCTTTGACCTCACTTCACACAGCAGGACATGAGACTCCAGGTCTGGGATCAGTCCAGCGAGACCTGAGAAGTGATTGGGTCCGGGCATCTACGTACCGACAAGAAAGACTTGTTTCTCTCAGAGGAAAAAAGGAAATCAGAGACTATATCTAGCGAAAGTTCTCATGAATAAAACATTGTGTAGGGAGAGGAAACAGAGTCATTCTTGTAGGTCAGGTTGTGGTTGATTTCCACAGGGAGCAGACGTGCGCTTTATTAACTGGGCCTGCACTCACCTGCTGGAACTGGACCTGAGTGCCCAGCGTGAGTGCCAAGAAGATACTGCTGCGGTTACAAATAGAAAATCACTGTTTTAACACTAGAAGCTTCACTATTGAAGCATTTGGAACTAAGATGTCAGAGTCTGTGTGTGGCCTTGCATGAGTGGTTTATTGTGAGTGTTTTCAGTGGGTTTTATTGTTTAAGGAATAATAAGATTGAACTTGTTGAGCATCACTGACAGCATCTAGCTCGTGTGTACAGTATGTTTGGACTTAACCAGGTGCGTTTCCTCCGAAGAGGCAAGGGAGGCAGTGTCTCCTCAAAATATTGGATGAGAAAAAAGAATTGTAGTACAAAAATAAAGCAGTAGCCCCTCACTGCGGAACACAAGATCCAGGGGCATGGTTGGATCCACATCTAGGGGGTGGAGATTGGTAGATTTAGGGGTGGAGATGGGTGGGTTTAGGGATCAGGGGGTGGAGACGGGTAGGTTTAGGTATTTGGATCTGGATCCAACCACGTCCCCTGGATCTTGTGTTCTGCAGTGAGGACCATCTCAAATAAAGAGCCCACAGATTTTTAACAGACCCCCTAAAGCGTGCCGCGAGTTTACTAGGGGGTAATTGAGAATGAATGGGGGAAAGTCACATGAGGGGAGGCAATGCCTCCATTGTGATATGATTGGATATGGGTGGTTATGATCAGCTGTTATTGGTTCATGCGATAAATTCCGCCTCTTGTGTTTGTGCGCGTGCATTCTGTGTTCACAAATCAGTCTGAATAAACAATATCATGGTGTTAATGTGAAGACTAATTAAAAAAAGTAAAGCCTTCTACACACTGCACGATTTTAGCCATCCTATAAGATCATTGCAGATCACAATGAGCGACATGGATCTCATCAACTTGGGTACGACGCGCATGTAGACTGTACGATGATGACCTATTGACTCATACGCTATGACGCATGTTAGAAGAATAAAACGTCATCAGCATGCGCTAGTGGTCAGCTGTTATTGGTTCATGCGATAAATTCCGCCTCTTGTGTTTGTGCGCGTGCATTCTGTGTTCACAAATCAGTCTGAATAAACAATATCATGGTGTTAATGTGAAGACTAATTAAAAAAAGTAAAGCCTTCTACACACTGCACGATTTTAGCCATCCTATAAGATCATTGCAGATCACAATGAGCGACATGGATCTCATCAACTTGGGTACGACGCGCATGTAGACTGTACGATGATGACCTATTGACTCATAAGCTATGACGCATGTTAGAAGAATAAAACGTCATCAGAATGCGCTAGTGGTAAACAAAAAGAACACGAACTGAACTGAAAAATGTGAAAGCGGTGAAAGAGGAAGGGATAAGAGCTTGAGGTAAGCAGTTTTATGTTTTAGTGCCATGTCGCGTTTTTATTGGCTGGTCAGTAAATGTGGGTCATAGCAGCAAACACACTGTGTGATAATCATGCTGTATTTCTGACACTGTCAGAAAACTATTGTAGGCTATCTTTGATTGCAAGACTGTGACAACGGCTGTCTTTTAACCTCTCTCACTGTCTGACATAGGACCACTGATTAGGAACCACGATCACAGAAATCGCCACGATTGTTTCACGATATCAATCTTTCGTCTGAGACAGCCGAAAATCATGCAGTGTGTCTCGGGCTTATGTAAACAACTCACACACTTAGATATAACCACTTTGTTACATCAAAATAAGACTTGAAATACTGAGCTTTGAATCGACTGACTGATGATCTGAAAAATTAAAAAAATTGCTAAAAGTTAACTATTAAATTGAATAGCTTAATAAATATATTGTTTAAATTGTTACTGCCTTGAGTTATTATTTTGGAATATATATATATTTATATATATATGGTGGTCTCTCCTCAACCACCAGCATCCACCTGGATGATGTAACGGCAGCCACAGTACAACGGCACCAGTGCGCTCACCACACGCTACAGGTGGAGAGGAGAGAGAGTCACAGAGCCAATCAAGTGGTTGGGGATTATTAGGAGGCCATGACTGACAAGGGCCAGCGGCGCATTTTGGCCAGGACACCGGGGATACACCCCTACTCTTTACGAAAATTGCCAAAGGATTTTTAATGACCACAGAGAGTCAGGACCTCGGTGTAACATCTCATCCTGAAATACAGTGCTTTTTGACAGTATAGTGTCCCCGTCACTATACTGGGGCATTAGGACCCACACAGACTACAGGGTAAGCACCCCCTGCTGGTCTCACTAACACCTCTTCCAACAGCAACCTAGTTTTCTCAGGAGGTCTCCCATCCAGGTACTGACCAGGCTCAACCCTGCTTAGCTTCAGTGGGCAACCAGTCTTGGGCTGCAGGGTGATATGGCTGAGGCTATATAATAAAACTAAATTTCAACCAATAATAATATCTATAATAATACAATTATTAAAAAGAAATAATTAATTTAAATTTTATTAAGAATTAATTGATAAAAGTTAATTTCCACAAAATGCATGTTATTATTAGTCAGGGGTAAAACCCAACAACACACAGTTTGATTTAATATGAAACGGGGTCCCTGTTGCATCTTTCCATCCATCAAGGTTGAAGACCCTTGCTTTAGAATAACTTTCTTTAAGATCAGTGATTAACATTACTACATTATCAGTAACTGTGCTGATTCAAATAGTTACTAATTTTATGAAAAATTAAGAAAGTTCTTCACTGACCCCCTGCAGCACCATTATGGAGCCCCAGGGGAAAACCCTGGATTTATATTATAAGCCTGCTGCAATGGATTATATTGAGAGGCATCTAGAATCATGCCTCTCTGTCTTCTGAGATTTACATCAGATTTCATTATGAAACAGACACAGCAGTAACTATTGATTCATGAGTCACTGAAGTTAATCTCAGAGCACAGCCCTGTATATGTGCGGTTCTGCACCTGACCACTAGATGTCACTGCTGCAGTCTGGAAACAGGAAATGGGATTCTCAAAGGAATGTAGGCTGTAGGCAGCTTGAGCTATTCTTCTGGTAAACGGCAAACTCTTATGTACTGAATTTTGACTAAAGTTTACTCCATAATCTTTCCACAAATAGGTATTCACTTCCAAGTTTGTTTTGGGTGTTTTCTTAAAGCCAGTTTACATAATGCTGTATAAAAATATAACTAGCTAAGAAAAAACTTCAATCACTCTCTAATGTAAAATGTAAGATGATCTGACTAAGAAAGTCTCAGTCTATGTGACTGAGAAGGAGAATGAGTAAAAAATAAGATAATATTGCTTTGTTTGCATTAAGACTCGATGTTGGCAGAACGCCTATACGTCTACAGACACCACCGATTTACCTCAAGAGAAGCACTGAACTGAAACTCACCCTTAAGAAAGCTTGAGATATGGGAGAAGAGAAGAAAAATAGATAAAATCTCACTTTCTAGCAAGAGTCACGGACAGACAGACCTTTGAACGAATGTTTTTGTCAGAGCTCCGTCTGAGTTACACCGGCGTTCTATCTTGCTCAATTAAAATGCCTGCTGCGAAATAGCTGGATTTCTTAAAAGGCACTTTGAGCCAAAACAGTATTAACAGGCTCATTGATTCCTGGCATAACCATCTTTCAGTCGGCTCATCAGCACCGGTAATCACGCAACTCAGACCATTACAAACTACATGGCCGCCAGTGACCCATGACCAGCTGGCTAATCCATCACTGACATTTAAAACAAAAACACTATCTTCAGGTACAATGGTCCTGGAGGAAGCAGGGCAGGAAAGGGGACCTAATGCGACTGGCCAGGCTCCAGAAACATAAGGATGAAGAGAAGATCTAAGCTGATAATAGACACCATCACTGTTCATTATCACTCTAGAGGATTTGGTAAGTTTTGGTGTCCTTAAAGGTTCAATTCTGTCACTGCTCACTCCCATGTTGGTTCTTCCTCTTGGGGAAAACTAAAACGTATAAGCACTGTTTTGCTACAAAAAGGACACAAAAGCCCTAGAAGTATCTTTGAGTGAGGAAAAGGTCAAAATTCAAATTTAAGTTAAACTTGACATCAAGCCTAGATTTCCCTGGGCGTTCATAAGAAATGTTCTGTAGCAATTTCAGAACCACTTGTTTGGAGTCAGATCTTTTCAACGAATCAGTTGATTCAGTTCACAAAACTGGTGTGAATGATTCATGAACCAATCAGATGGTTTGGTTCACACTGAGTTCAACTCAATGTTAGAATTAATGTTAAATAGCAAATACAA